GTTCAAAATACTGGTCTGGCCCCCTGTGTACTCTGTGATATTTGGCAAGTCAGTATCTGTCTCTCTCTCACACACACAGATACACACAAAGTAAGATAAAATTTTCTCCTCTTCCTGAAACAATTGAGAGAGAGGCCTAAATGGGTTTTTCTCTTGTAGTAAGCTACTTGGGTAGATAAAATAGCCACCAAAAAGGAGCTCCAGTGAGTCTTCCACTGGGGTAAGTCCAAGCAGAGTGGTGCTTGATGACTCGTGGGCGATTGCGAAAGACTGACTGCTGGTGTCTGCAGAATTGTGACTTCTGGCAGTTGAGGACGTTAGTTCTTGTTTTACTTCCTTGGGAAAGGTTGAGTTGACCCTCATATTTGACCCTCATAGCCTTACTTTTATTTTTAAATGTACAATAAGATGGAAGTTGCAGCATCATAAGAAGCAGAGAGCAGTAAACAAATGTGATTTCTGGATAAATAGAGACTTCCTACAGGAATTTAGCAAATATTGTACACTCTCTACTTTTGCTGTCATAGTTATAATTTATTTTGTAAGAAGGACACACCAACATTAGTACGGCATTTAAGAATTGTTGATAACAGTAAAAAATTTTATATTTCATTTTTTCCCAAAAGAAAAGGGAAGAGGATTATTAAGTATAATGAGTGCGGGTAGGGGAGGCAGTCTTGAAGCTCACAAAGATCAAAGGGGTTCTGAGACTATCTCTTTAGAAGTTGATCCTGACTCAGAGGGGAGAGAGTGGGTTCCACTCAAGAGGTGTAGGAAAATATCCTAGGAGACTGGTGGATTTAATGCTGTTCTTCTCTAGCCAGAAATGGATTAGTTCCTTAGGACTCCTGTTTGTCTGCAACGTTACTTGTACTTCCCTTTTGAATCTTAAGAGGAATGTTTGTCAAGAAGCAGTTTAAAGAAGAGAGGGGCAGTGAAAAGAGAGATTCCACACTTTCACTAAGCAGTCATTGGTGTATGTCTCTGTGTGTGTGTTTTCGTTGTTATAATTTTAAAAAGATTTTGTTAATTTAAAAAGGTATTAACTTGTCTTGGGGCTACATGACTTTGGATCCAATGAAGATGTGGTAAGAAATGTTGAAAATTACTGCTTTTAAAATTGAGCAGGACTCAATATTATCTGTTACAGTAAATAGAGTATAAATGAGACATGTTAGTGTAGAAGAAAGATGTGATAGTATGCTTGCATTCTTAAAAATCACATTCACAACCCCCTGTGAACATACATATATATATTTTCTATTTTCAGAAGTTGATTTATTTATTGAGAAAGCTATATAGTTCTTTGTGCAGTCATCTCCAGTTATAATTATATAATTTCAGATCCAAAAAATTATCCTCTGCTCTCCTTCTATTGTGGTCTTTTCTCCCTGTTTATTGGCTTAAATAAACATGTTTAGAGATACCATGACCCTTATCTGTAGGATAATGTAGATAGTATTCTAAAAAACCACGTGAATAGGTGATGGATATTATGGATAATTTAGGTTCAGACAGAGGAGCTGACAAGTGTGGAGGAACTCTGTTGACCCAAGGTGACCCTGTTGGCTTACGGCAAAACTTTGGGCTGACAGGGGCAGCTTCAGGTGATTTACTTCAGCCTCTCAACATATTTACCACTGTCATCTCAAATGATCTCTCATATACACAGGAAACACACTTATTTGCTTTGACTGTGATGTGACTTCAGTTAGCTAGACCTATAGCAATCTGAGGACTGAGAGAACTGTACTAGATGTTTTTGTGCATTAATTTTAAAAACTTGAGATGGAATTCACATAACATAAAGATAACCATTTTAAACTGTACAGTTCAGTGACAATCCACAATATTATGCAACTATCACCTCTATTTTATTCCAAAGCATTTTTATCACCTCAAAAGAAAACACTGTATCCATTAAGCACCTGGGACCCATTTCCCTATTCCCTGGCAACCACTTCCTGTCAATGAATTTACCTACACTGGATATTTCTTATAAATAGAATCATACAATATGTTACCTTTTGTGTCTGGCTTCTTTCCACTTTGCATAATTTTAGGGTTCATTCACATTGTCACATTATCAGTGCTTCATTCTTTTTATGGCTGAATATTTCACTGAATGCATTTTTTTTACTCACTCTTCAGTTGATTGACATTTGATTTGTTTTCACCTTTTGACTATTATGGATAGTGTTGCTATGAACATTTATTTATATGCATGTGTTTGCATTGTATGTTTTTATCAGATATATGATTTGCAAATATTTTCTCCTATTCTGTAGGTTACCCCTTCACTTTCTTGATGGTGTTCTTATATGCACAAAAGTTTTTAGCTTTGATGAAGTCCAGTTTATCTATTTTTTATTTTGTTGCTTGTGCTTTTGGTGTAATATCTAAGAATCTATTACCAAATTCAAGGTCATGAACATTTACCTAGTGTTTCTTCTAAGAGTTTTAAAGTTTTATCTCTTACATTCATGTCTGTGATCCATTTTGAATATTATATATGGTACTAAATAAGGGTCCAAATTTATTCTTTTGCATTTGGATGCTATTTGCCCCAACACCATTTGTTAAAAAGTCTTTCCTTCCCATTGAATGAATGATCTTGGCACCCTTGACAAAAAGAATTAACTATAGTTTATTTCTGAACTCTAGATTCTATTCTATTGATCTATATGTTGGTACCACATTTTTTTGATTGCTGTAGCTTTGGAGTAAGTTTGGAAATTGGAGAAATGTGAGTCCTTCAACTTTGTTCTTCTTTTTCAGGATTGTTTTGGCTATTCATGGTCGTTTTTATTTCTATATGAATTTTAGGGTATGCTTTCACATTTTTACAAGAAAGTCATTGGGATTTATATTGGGATTATACTGAATCTCTGGATTACTTTGGGTGGTATTGCTGTTTTAACAATATTAAGTCTTCCAATTCATGAACATGGGATGTCTTTTACTTTATTTGTCTTTAATTTCTTTCAATAATGTTTTGTAATTTTTACTGTACAACTTGCACCTCCTTGATTAACTTTATTCCTAATTATTTCATTTTTTGGATACACTTGTGAATAAAAACATATTCTTAATTTCATCTTCACATTATTCATTGCTACTATATATATAGAATTGTAGTTGATTTTTGTGTGTTGATCTTTATACTGAACTATTGCTGAATGTGTTTATTAGCTCTAGTAGTCTTTTTGCAGAATATTTGGGATTTTCTGTATGTAAAATCATGCCATCTGTGAATATAAATAATTTCACTCCTTCCTTTCCAACTTGGACACTGTTTTTTTTTTTTTCCTTGCCTAATAACTATGGCTAGAGCTTCTAGTACAGCGTCGAATAGAAAAGGTGAAAGTGGGCATCCTAATCTTGTTTTTGATTTAAGATGAAAAACTTTAAGTCTTTCATCGAGTATAATTTTGATTGTGTGTTTCTCATAAATGTGCTTTATCGTGTTTATTTACCATAAAATTTTCTTCTATTCCCTGTTTGTTGAGTGCATTTATCATTGAAGAGTATTGGATTTTGTAAAATCCTTTTCCTGCATCAATTGAGATGATCACGTGTCTTGGTTTCTTTTATTCTGTTCATAAGATATTAACATTGATTGATTTTTGTATGCTGAACTCTTGCTCATCATTTTAAAGCCTCAACACTAATTTCAACCATGGCTGTTGCTATCAGTTACATTTAGGCTGTAATTTATTTTATGTAGATGTAAATTAATAAAGTCTCAACGCACATGGCATAAGACCACTTGTGGGAACTTGTGTGACATTCATGCATGAGCAACTTGGAACTGCAAGGGAGGTGACAACATTCAGAGTGATCCTTGGCCTTGGGGGAATGGGAGCTTATGGATTAATGCTCCTTTTCTTCCCTTACAAAAATGATTCTGAAGTCAGTTTTGTAAGGCTTCTCAGAAAGTCTTGCTAAATTAAGCAATCAATTGCTGACTTGATAATATATCCTTTTATTTATTTTCTCTTTTGTTTTCACTTCCCTTATCATTTAATCATACTTCCTGGAATTGCATTCAAATGAATTCCTCACTCATAGGCATTTTCTTTGATTTTGATTTTAAAGAAACTATGCCAAGTCTACTATACCTGTCTAGTAACCTTGCATGAGTTTGAGGGAACGAACAGGATGTAGTTCAGCTCCTAACACTGGGTCTTGCCACTTTCATCTCATGCTACATAGTGTGTGCAACTGTTTCGTTTTCATTTCTGGGGACTCTGCTACTGACTTTTGATGTTGGTTTTGAGTTTTGAGGTAATTTCTGAGCTTGTTGAAAGTTCTTTGCCTCACCATTAATACTTTCTGCTTTTCCCCTTTTGACTATGGAACAATCTTCTACAATAACTGCTTTCATTAATTAAAAAGGAATGACCACCTACAAACGGAGTAAGAAGAGTGGCTCTTAAGTATCTGTGAATTTTGGCTGAATGGGGACTAATAATTAAAATAATAAGTCTCACATTTCTAAACTCTATATGTTAGGTACTAAGTTTAATGCTAACATCCCCATCACAAAATAGGTACTAGTGTTAGTCCCATTTTTCCTTTAAAAATCTAAACTCCAACTCAACTGATACCAACTCTCAAAGCTCATCTTGGTAACCGTTGTTTTATGGTCTTAAGATGTTCTTTTTGTGAATGAATTAAAGTTCTAGTTGTAAAATTCATGAAATGTTTAAATAAATCTCCTTAAAAAGCCAACACCCTGTCTGAAATTCTATCCCTCTTGAAATGAAAACTGAGACTAATATAAGCAAATTACAGAGAAGTTAATTTTTTGATACAGAAAAACTAGTTTCAAACATGGTGCTATTTTTAATGAAACCCTGAAACTCAACAAACCTTAACAAAAAAAAATGGACTTGATTCTCTTGACAGTACACTCAGAGTTTAAAAATCTCAGAGTTGCTCCTGGTTCTACACAGACAGAATCTGGAGATGTTAATTTTTTGTCATTTGGCTTCTAGATGTCCTTGGCGTGTACACCCCTATGGAATCTGGTTCATCTACAATCTGTCAGAAAGCATCAGAGGTGGTTTTGAGTCCTTATGTCCTGAGCCTGTGAACAAAATGTGTGAGTACATTGAAATAATAAGGTCAATTTTACTGTTGTCAAGGGTCTTCTAAAATTATTTCATAATGGTTGTTGTATTGAAATGAATTCACCCTATAGTTTCAGTCTGAGGAGTTAAGGGCAGTATTTAGTTAAGATTAGAAAATATCTTTATTGGAATTGTCTCACGTGTGCAGGTTCATTTTTTGCCTTAGAAAGGCTTTGATGGACATGGATGAATTAAACCCCAGATTTAGCTCAGTGAGAAGCAAAGATTATTTTTTAGTATAGTTATCAAATAGCTTAAATATTATCAAATGATAGACAAAATATTGCTAAATGATATTTATTCACATATGAAAATTTCCCAGTGCAGGCTAGCATCTTTTTCATCTAGGTTTTAAGAATATAACATACTAAGGATCCCTTCTCTTGGCCACTGAGGCAGGTTGCTATCATCTTAAAAGAAACCCAGAACTTTGAATGGTTTACTAGTTAAGTTAGTGGTTATATACACAATTTAGAACTTCAAATTCTTCAGCAAATTAATTTTGGAGTTGTTGTATATATCTCTGCCATGTGAGCATTGTTCAAATGTTTTTTTTTTCAAGGTAGGTTAGTTTGGGGAGATAAAATGGTTATTCCTGCTGTGGAGAATATTAGGTTTTATGGTTTCTTTCATTTCTAGAGATTCAGATGATGACTTCAAATGTAGGTTTGTGAATTTTAAGCCAATTGTTGAGTTTTCATTGCCTTGAGATAAGCATTGGCTTAGTTTGTTGGAAACTGGAAGGGGTCTGAATAATAAGCTAGTCAAATTTATTTAATTTGGGAAAATAGTATAATTTGACTAATTTCATGTAAATTAAAGATATTATGTTTGAAAATAAGGGGTTGCATGTAGTTTTAACTAAATAAGTCTATTTCACTTCTTAATTGGACACTGAGCATACTGTGCCTTCCTGGCCCACTATATGACAGTCTTTCTCCTCCTTTGATTTACCAAGAGTAGAAGACCAATTTTCCACAGCAGCCAGGCTTCTTGATGAAGGTTAAGGTCATGAACTGGTATGTTTGAAGTGCTTTGGGAAGATATGAGTTGAATCTAGGTTGAGGTGGAAAAGAAAGTATTTTGTTTTATGCTTGCAGACTCATCTTGTAGGAATGAAAATGTAATCAAGGACTCCTAATTAAAGAACAATCACTAAATAGCTAAGCTGGGGAAGTTTCCCATTAAATTTTGTCCAATTTATATGGCTTATATTTTATTACAGATACCAATTAGAGACTGTTGCAGGGAATAGGTGGCCATTCAAATTAGTCCAAGTCAAAGTTTTATTATAAGACTTCTGGAGAGTCTCAGGGGAACTAGCAGTTATGGCAAGAATTTTAATTTCTAGCCAGTTTTAATTTTAGGAGAAAGGTTAAACATGAAGTTCATTCTCCTATTTTCCTCCACGATTTTTAACAGAGAGGCACATTTATGACATTTATTTCAGTAATTAGTATCAGGTACAAATGACAACTTCAACAAGCAACAGTCCTTTGTTCATAATCTGGCTGTCATTGAAGAGGTATGTCAGTGTATTTCAAGAGCTTTCAGATAAACCAATTAGCAAAACTCTGCCAATAGAATTAATTTAAACTATTTCTTCTCTTAGAGTTTAATGCTTTAAACATTAAAATGTGATGGAATTTTCTTTAAGATCAATCATAGAATACGTTGAGTCACTTGTTTCAATTTCCAAATCTTCTCCCTTTGATAATCTGTATGTTTCTTCCTCAACCATCACCCTTTTCCATGTTAATACATCTGATATATTGAGTTTACTTTCTTCAAGCATACCCTGTTTTGATAGATGTATCTATGTTGTGAATCAGTTTTCCTATCAATCCTTTTAGACATGATTTTTTTTTTTTGTACATGTCCTTCCTAGAGCCTTCACCATCATCCTGGGACATTCTTTTTATTTTGTCCTGACTCATTTTCTGATTCTCTTTCTTGGTTGACTGCAAACTTTTAATTGAAGCTATTTTCCAGAAGATTCCTGAAGAGAATACACAGGAGGTACCTTTTTTTGTGGCCTTGAATATACCAGAATTTTCTTTGTCTGTAAATATTCTTGATTTGCACTTACATTCTGTAAGTACATTGGCTAGCTGCTGAATTTTAGCTTGGAAATAATTTTCCCTCAAAAAGTTTGTCTTACTTCATTATCTTTTAGTTTTCCTATTTCTGTCCAGAAACCTGACCCCATTCAGATTCTAGAGTCCATGTTTAGGTTTTTCTTTCGTCCTAGAAGATTTTTCCATATGTTGATTATCCCTGGCTGTTAGTTTATTACAGTGTGATAAGGTGGCCACATGACTTTTTAATTGAGAGGCCCTAAATCTCATGTATGTACATGTTTCTCTGAGCCTTTCAGTTTTTCTAGAGAAGACTTCTCCAATTTTATGCTTGGAAGGTAAAAGCCTAGTGGGCTATGTTCTGGGAACTAAACCAGAAAATGACCTGCAGGTCTCACCATGCAGTACGGGGATTTGCATTTCATCCTTTATTACTCAATAGAACATCTTAATCTGTCTTCTGTTGTACGAACTTCTACAGAGTGCAAACCTCTGATCTTCTGTTGTGGTCAGGGAAAGGATCTAGTAACTAATTTTTTTAAGGTAAATTTTCAACTAATCCTTTCAACTAATAGTGGGGAAGGGAGTTACTAATATACCCCTTCCCCATTATTTTAACATCTCACCTTCAGAGATACCTAGTATTTTCATATTCTGAGACTTACTGGGATTTTGAGGTAAAATTGGAAACTTCCTATTGGCTTCAATTTAGGTTGAGGTTTTAGCTTTATCCAGTTTGCTAAGCAGTTACCATTCATCCATCTATCTTCCAGCATTTCAGAAATGTTTTTATTATTCCTTATCTGATATCTTCTCCTCTCATATTCTTTTCATCCTTATGGGTTTATAAGTTTAAAATTCATTCACTGTCAGTTTTGTGTGGTTTTACAAGGATGAGGAATAAATAAATATGTGCCTCCACTGCCGTGCTTAATCAGAAGTTTATAAAATATCATAAAGCAGTATATGCAAAAGATAGTGATACACCCATGGTGTGACATTAATACTGTGTAGAATATTGTCAATTTATCACTATAATATCTGCAAGTAAAAGAGGGCATAAATACTCTGAAAGCATAAAGGCTTGCCTTTCTCAGCTCCCATGCTGTTTTCTCAGTAAAAGAGCTAATTCACCTGAAACCTTTACAGAGCCTCCTACCTGAGTCTCCAGTTGAACTTCACAGACCCTTCTGTTGTTAACACTTCCTGTGTTTTACTCTATCTGTTTATTTATCTTTTTTTCCCCACTAAGCTCCAGCTTCTTGAAGGCAAATATTAAGCCTTATTCATCTTTGTACTCCCTGGGCTTAGCACAGAACTTAGCATGTCGTAGGTGCTCCATACATGTTTACTGAGAAATATTAATGAATATGTTAATAATTTGCCTATGTCTCCAAGAAACTCTTAACATCTCATATTTAAAGTAGTTATTCTCCAATCTGTTTCTCTTCTCCCCTTCCTATCTCTCCCATTCCCAACAAGCAAGATATACTTTCACTCATCATTTGAACTGAGTATAGATATATTTCATATATATTTATTGCTTACTTAATTTTTACAGTTTAACTGAGGCTTTTTGATCATTTGGGGTGTTTTACTTTTCAAAACAGTTTTCTCCAGAATGAAGTTGCATAGTTTTCTTTTTTTTTTTTTAATGTATTGGCCATTTATGGGCATTTATCCAAATATTTTTGCCTCTTAGGATAAGAATGGATGGTATGAGGTGGTGATCAGGCTTAGACACAATCGTTAATTTAATTCAAGAGTTAGTTACTGCTTATGTGTTATCTCCAGGACATTTTACTTAGTACTTTTTGGAAATCAAAATGAGTAAGAAAAAAATCTTGCCATTAAGAGGTTTACATTATAATAGGTGAAAAAATATAGAATGGTGCCCTTTAAAAAGGTAAAAAATAATGAGTGCTATGAAATTCAAAAGAGGGAGAGCTCACAAATATATGGAATCATTAAGGGTGTTTTTTGGAGAAATGGTATTTCAAATGTTCTTTAAAGAACGGCAGAAATTAGAGAATCAAGTGGAAAGGGATGAGAAAGTAGAGTAAGAGAGAGAAAAAAATACCTAGATGTATTTAGAAACAGGAAGTAACTAGTTTATTTGGCTAGAGAGTACAGTAGAGGACACATAAAGATATATGGAAAAAAGAGCTAGAAAAGGTAGGCTGAGCCATTTTGCAGAAGACTTTGAATGTCAGGCTGAGGTATTTTTACTCAATAGGGAGACACTGAAGGTTTTAAGCTAGGTAATAGTAATATTTAAATTATGATATAATAAAAAATATTAGTGAGGCAGATGTATCAGAAGAGAAATGGGAAAAGGAGAGACTCATTACAAGCCTACTCTTAGCCGAGGAAGAAAAAATTAAAGAGCTCTGAAAAGAGTAAAGATTAAGAATAGAACATTATTTAAAAACATGTTCAATACTATCTATTTACATTACTACTCAGTGGTTTGCTTATCCATTCTCTGTCCTCTCCCACTAGAATGTAATATCCTTAAAAGTAAGGATCTTGTCTATTCTCTTCGGCCCTTATCACCAGTGTCTGAAGTAGTGCTTACAATATTGCTGTTGCTCAGGAAATGCTTTCTGAAGGAATTAAGGAGGCAGAGAAGGAAAAAAAGACAGAAAAAATCAGATAAGTTGCTCTTAGGCGTATGAATTAAGTGAAATAGATTTAAATAGGCCAGTAATCCCAATTAATGAAAACAGAGTGAACTCTGCAATTACAAGACAAAAATGGTCAGACCAGATTTTAAAAATCTCAGTTGCATCCAATCTAAAGATTCATACTTAAATGGTAAATGCATAGCAAATATGAATGTAAAGGCATGGAAAAAACTATCCCAGATAAATACTAACCAATAGAAAGCTGCT